AAAGACGAATTCTTCTGTGTAAAGCATTTTTAGAAAAAAACATGTGATATGTTGAAGCCACATACTGCGAAACGTTCGGGTCTCATCTTTTATTGTAAAACTGGAAGAAATATATATCCCAGGCAACACTATATTACATCATACAATAAAAGTTTCTATACAACCAATGCTAATAAATCACTTGGGTGAACCGGGACCTCAGGAATCTGGATTTGTTTTAATGTTTTTTACAGACTTAGTTCACTAAAATTATGACATTTCAACTTTGTTCTACATCCCATGAAGCACATCTGTGAATTAAGTAAAGCGACTATCTTTCCGAACAGTGTAACATTTCACAATTTTACAGCAAATCAACACACACACATGAACAGAACATGGTGCCGCTTGACCACGAGACAAGCTGAGAACTAGACGAGAACTTTGCTGGTGTGGTCAGTTTCACGACATAGAGAGAGAAATAAAATCATCAAAAAACAAAAGTAGCAATTACTGGGTTGCAAAACGTCAACATTTCAACAGTTATTGCCTTAATGCTGAAAACTGTGTTGCATAGAGATATAGATTAACCAGCTAAAAGACTGTTAACGGTTATTTCAAATAAAGAAATACATACATGAAAATAAATCATTTCTCGTCATTGAGTTTAGGCCCTTGGCATCTTGTCGGGATTGAAATGTAAATGTTGAGAGAGTGTTTTGTGTAACAGTGTGAATTTAATGTCTATATGTGAATCAAACTGAAGAACAAGTGGTGCTAACATACACACTTAAGGAGCAGGTTTTATTCGCCATACAAAATGTACTTTGGGAGAAACTAATACACATACACAGAATTAAGCAATAAAAGCCAGACCAAATACACCACATAAACAGTTTCATTCTTATTATCTGATGCTCGTGATAGCTCAACTTTATAAGGAAATGCAATATTAATTTAGAAAATGCACGCAATTATCAGAATATACTCATTATGTAACTGAACATCTGATAAATAAATAATCAAAATGAAAAAGATTACAACAAAACAAATAAAGCCTTTGGTTCTTGACCTACTGATTGGCAACACATGTAATGAGCCTCGGCTCTTAATAAAGGTTTTCATGACACACATTAAAAGAGGTTGAGGCATTGAAGAGGTCTATAACACACTGAAGAAACAAATGTACACGATGAGGACAAGAACAGGCTGAAACAGTCTAGGGACAATAGAGTGTAATGAAGACAAATGGACGAGGACTTAAATGTGACTCAATGAGGCACAAGATGCTTCAGTTCTGCCTCGTTGGCAAAAGTCAGGCTGGAATTTCAGTGCTAAAAAGAACTGTGAACAACACACACACACACACACACACACACACACACACACACACACACACACACACACACACACACACACACACACACACACACACACACACACACACACACACACAATGCAGATATTTTAAAAGAATGGCATATTATGTGCAGGACATACTGTATTATTATATAAGACATGTGCAGCTAGTTTAGTCTTGAACAAAACATATTTTACGTTCACCACTTTTAATGTTGATCATTTCTTTTGTGACAAACTTCTATTTTGTTCAAGCCATGTCCCTCATAAATTGGACACACAAATGTTCACACTGCTCTAACTATTCTCTCACAAGAGCATTACAATGTTTGTGAAGGACACAAACTCAAATCACTCTACAGCTAATATACGAGGAGCACATTTATTGAATGATTGTTAGCCCACTGAGTTTAATTAGGTTTGCTCGGGCCTTAAATTGGTCATATCTATGTCCAATGTGATGCTCGTTGTGGTCTAACCATCTGGCTTTCTAAAGTAATAGTGTAGTCATGCATATCTGACTGAGCCTGAAAGCACACTGAATTGCCAATTTAGCCATTTTGTCTCAAACAGGGTGATTTAAAGCTGCGCTTGTGGTCGTCTCAGTAGTGATGATGTGTGTTCAGTGCAACAGTGCTCTAATTTACCTCAAGTGTGCTGAATGTGCAGCATGTTTTCTGTTGACTTCCAAAAATCTGATGAGCCTGATGAAATTATATATATTTCTTTTTACAAATAACACCGTGAAACTCATTTGCCAAAAATATACTTTACTTTCATTTTTACTCTCTATTCTATTCTGTAGCTGTGTGATTGAATGTAATATATGAATGTAGGAATACTTTTACGAAACTAAAGATTGCACTGAACTATGGGTGGCTTGTGTCCGGACAGAATTATATGCAAGCTTGTGTCCGCTACAGAATAAAGTCCTAATTATCTTTTTTTATTTTTTACTCTCACAGTTCTGGCTTTTCTTTTTTAGCAATTGCAAGATCTAAACTCGCAATTGCGAGAAAATGTCAGAATTCAGCTGACTTTTTCCCTCAGTATATATCTCGCAATTCCTACTTTATAATGCAGAAGCTATAAAAGCAATCCGAAACAAACAGCGTTAGCTTCTGTGTCTTCAGTAAACAATAGCCGTCAATATCAGTAATTCATTTCTAGCCAAAATAATCTTAAATTTGGTTACATGTCGTTTTTGCCAAAATAACTTGCGAGATGTATGATGTCCCATCATGTAAGCAAAGTGAACAGTGATTACAAGGCGATTGGTTTCATTTCTTTGACATGTTCGTAGCCTGTGCGTCTATTCTTGTCTGGTTAGATGTCTATTAAATTTTCACTGACAGTCCAAATTCAGCCTTGTTTTAGCCTGGACGTCAGGGATGTGTTTGGACGGCTATTAGACGTCTTTTAAATGCAAAATTGCTTGCTGGGATGTTAGATTGGGGTTGGATACCATGGTGCAGGTGTGGCTACGTATGTACGCATTTCCTGAATCGCTATTCTCCTGGTAGTTCTAGAGAGAGTTTGCCAGTTAGCCGGCCCGGCCGGTATGGTTCACAGACCTGATGTCTCTCCCTGGGAGATTCCCATCAGGAAGGACATTCAGTCACAGGCTGGGGACAAAATATATCACCCCTGGCCAGAAATATGAAAGCTGAGGGTTTGGCCACTGAGAGGAACCAACTCTTGAACTCTGGTCTCTCAACCAAGCTTGTTGAGACCATCTTAAACTCAACAAGGAAATTGTATGCCTTTACACTTTTCACTTTATGGTGGAGAGAAAACCAGTTGGACCCAGTTAACTATCAGGGGTGCGTTTCCCGAAAGCATCGTTATCCAACTATGATCGCAACTTCCATTGAACTCTATTGGTAACGACGGAACTTGCGACCATAGTTGGCTTTGGGAAATGTACCCCAGGTTGGTTCAGTGCTGGAGGTCCTTCATAATTGTGAATCCCCATAATCATAATCCCCCTCCACGCTAAAGGTTTACAATACGTAGCTTCCCGGTCAGCAACATAGTGTCTGCCCAGATCTGGTACGCATTGAATCCACATGTACCAGATGTGGGCCGGATCTGGGCAGACACTATGATGCTGTCTGGGTTAACATGCACCTTTGGGTGTTTGATCTTTGGGGAGACCCTCTGGTATCTCGTTTCCTTTGTGGCGCACTGAGGCTAAGGCCTGATATTCATGCGAGAGTTCCAGCCTTGTATTTGCCTGTGACTTTAGAGTGGTTGTCCCTGGCACCCTTTGAGCCCATTGAATCTGTTACAGAGAAGTTCCTTGTTTTCAAGACAGCTTACTTGCTCACTATTACCTCTCTTAAAAGGATAGAATATATGCAGGTCCTCTCTGTTGCCTCCTCCTGCCTAGAGTTTGCTCCCGTTGGGGTCAACACTAGACCGGGATACGTGACTAACATAGCATGCTCAGTTGTTTTGCACACCTTTTATCCTCCTCCATTTCAGTTGGTGCAAGAGAAACTTACGTCCACCGCTGTGGTTCACCCAGACAGGGTTCCCAAAGAATAAGCAAGTGGATTATTGAGGCTATTACTATGGCTCTATAGCTTACAAGGCGCGTGACCTTCCTTCACCTCTAGTCGTAAGGGCCCGTTCTACTAGGAGTATGCTGGCCTCTAAGGCTTTATTGTCAGGAGTTTCCATCCAAGAGGTGTGTGATGCGGTGGGCTGTTCCTCTCCGCACACATTCATCAGATTCTACCCAGACAGCAACATAGTGTCGGCCTAGATCCGGCCCACATCTGGTACCAAATGTGGCCGGATCTGGGCTGACACTATGTTGTTGTCTGGGTACTGCCAGGATTTGGACTGCAGTGGGTATTAACGTTCCCATAGCGTCAACAATCTGACGAAGCGTTGAGTTCTCTCGAAAGGGAAAGTCTCAGTTACGACTGTAACTCTGGTTCCCTGAAAAAGGAATGAGACTCTGTGCAGCCTTGCCATACTTCCCGCATGCCCGTGAGTGACTTACTTCAGTCAATCAGAAGCTGACACGGTTTGTTTCAGGTATCCTTTATAGCTTCAGAGAAGTTCTTTGCTTTCAAGACAGCTTTCTTGCTCACTATTACCTCTCTTAAAAAGGTAGGAGATCTGCAGGCCCTCTCTGTTGCCTCCTCCTGGCGAGAGTTTGCTCCCGTTGGGGTCAACCCTAGACCGGGTTACTTGACTAACAGCATGCTCAGTTGTTTTGCACGCCTTTTATCCTCCTCCATTTCAGTTGGTGGACCAAGGGAAACTTAACTTGGGTTGTCCAGTTAGGGCACTTGAGTGTTATGTCCACCGCTCTGCCCAGTGGCGTAAGATTGACCAGCAGCTGGTATGCTGTGGTTAACCCAGACAGGGTTCCTAAAGAATAGGCAAGTGGATTATTGAGGCTATTACTATGGCTATACCTTACGGGGCACATTTATGAAAAGGGAATGAGACTCTGTGCTGCCTTGTCATACTTCCCGCATGCCTGTGAGTGACTTATTTTAGCCAATCAGAAGCTGTCGCTTTTTGTTTCTGGTATCTTTTATAGCTTCCGCGGTACGCCTTCATGTGTCACGGGGTAACGTTGCACCAATGAGATTAAAATGATTCAACACATGCTTTAGATGGCTTACAAAGAGGAAAATGCAAAATGTTACTCGAATATGTTTATTATTAAGTGTTGTACTAATAATACTAAAAAAACAAACAGACAATAAGCTGTTGAAACGTGAAGCCAGAAACACTGGGACGATGCAAACAACACAATCTTTCTACATTGACATTAACAGACGTGACACTGATGGACACATTTCCTGCAGTGACTGTATATCACAAGTGAACACAATTAAAAAAGAAAAAACACTGAAAAACTTTAAAAAGCATTGTGCATAGTTCAGTCATCACCTAACCTCTCTGCTGCTTAACACTATTTCTGCTAACAACGAAGTGCAAAAAATGTACATCTCTCATTAAATTAGCTCACTGTTGCACTGAAGGGTGTTGTCATTCGTTCCCTTGTTCTATAAGGTTTGTTGAATATGTGTGCATGTGTGTGTACTTATACAGAAACCCGTGTTCGTTTAACTCAATACTAGGGTCAAGTCCATTGGCATCCCTTAAAGGTTTTCCAGAGCTTTGGCCCAGTCGGCCGACGCAATCCTCTGCAGAACCGGCCCGCGGTACGGCACTCATACCTCACCCACCCACACCACTGTGTTCCCTCTCTTGATGTCTGACACCTCACAGTGAGGGCCGCTCTGTTTGCCGTCCAGAACGAACAGGGACTCGGTCGACGACGTGACCAAGTAGCGTCCAAACACCCCGCTGGAGACCACCACCCTATTGGCGTCTCCCCAAGGCCAACTGGTGGCTGGAATCGGATCCTTGACATTCTGAAGGGCTTTTTCTCTCCCCGTCGCCAGGTCCGAGAAAACCAGCTCCGACCCCTCAGCCGAAGAGGTCACGACCACGTACTGGTTGGCCTCCGTGAAGGAGGGCTGAAACTCCAAGTCTGCGAGTTGAATCGAGACATCCACTTCATGGCTGATCTGCAGCTCACCGCTGAAGGAGATGGTCTGGACTTGGAGTTTGCCACGTCGTTTATCCACGGAGACGACGAAACGCCCGTCTGGAGAGACGAACGGCCGGCCGTTGATGTTGGGATTGGGTCCGATGACTGTGTCGCTTACGCTGTCAATGAGAAGCTGCGAGCTCGGAGATGAACTGTTCTCGACTTGGCACTCGATAAAATAGTAGCCGCTTAAATGAGTGTAGGCCATGCTGGCTGGAATACAGCTGTAGTTCTTCAGACTGATGGTCTTGACGAGGCGGAGGGTCTCAAGGTCGATTTTATGCACCGCAGGCTCCCATTTTAAGTAGACAAAGCCAAACCTAAGATGACAATTGTCAAAGACAGGTTAATGATCTTTCTGGTGATTTATTAAGTGCTGCCCTGTTAATTACAACCATCATTTACTCACTTCCAATTTTTGGAAGAATTATGTTGAAAATCTGACAGAGGTCATGCACGCTGAGCAGTGACGATCGTTTCGTACCTTACGTGGGTGATAATGAGGTTGGTGGGAGGAATGTAGAAATCCTCCACTCCTTCAAACGGAGTGTGAACGATCTGACGCTGCTCCACTGCACTCGCAGAAGTGATCACCTCAAAAATGGAAACAAGAGAAAGTAATATTACAATCATGTAGAGCAGGGATGGGCAGCTTCAGTCCTGGAGGGCCACTGTCCTACAGAGTTTAGCTCCAACCCTGAAAAAATCACCTGCCTGTAACTTTCTAGTAATCCTGAAGACCTTGATTAGCCTGTTCAGGTGTGTTTGATTAGGTTTGAAGCTAAACTCTGTAGGACAATGGCCCTCCAGGACTGAAGTTGCCCATCCCTGATGTAGAGTGTCTTAAATCTGACCTGATAAGCAAAGATCTTAAAAGAATAAATAACATATTCTGTTGTAATATAACAAATGAAATAATCTATGAAAACAGTGTGCCGTTCAGTCTGTGCAATGAATGATGCTTGCTTTGATATTTTATTATATAATGACAAGACATTACATGAATTTACTCTAAATAGTGGTGTAGAACTGTCCTAGAGGCCCATGATGAGTGTTCATGCTCATGCTCATGGTGTTTTCCCAACTCCCTTTACAGTTAATCATCATGTATAATACAGATTAATTTAAAACATAGCTACTCCTCTAGTCAGTATTCAATCATATTGTTTGGCAAATCAATTCATCTTTAATGGTAACACTTTAGTTTAGGGTCCAATTCTCACTTTGAAGTAGTGGCTTATTAGCATGCATACAGTTGTTATCGAAATTATTCAACCCCCATTGCAAATCAGGTTTACTGACAAAATGTACAGACTTTTAGTAGTTTCCAATGAACAAATCAAACAAAAGTAATTGAAATAGCTCAACACGACAAATGTTTCAAGTGGTTTCCCCAAATTCAACTGAAAATGCAACGTTTAATGACTTCTGCAGTCTCAAAATTACAAGTCGCCTGACTTGTTTTCCCCCATCCGGGTTAGTTTTTGTTTTATTGTTTACTAATTAAAAGCCCTTCATATCTGTAACACTGAGTCCTCGCCTCATCCCTTCACCCAACCCTGACAATATCTGCAAGTACAGTTCTTTAAAACTACTTTTAAGATTTAAAGTACACAACGGGTGCACATTCAATACAATTAAGCACACTTTAATTTCACAAGTGTATAAAACCAAGCCATTCATCACGCCACATTTGTATTTATAATATGTCATAGGATATTTAGCAGCTTAGATCACAAGGATTATGCTGAAACCGCTTGGAAACCATGCCTCTAGAGAAAATGCTGTTTTGGGCTTGTTAATAAGTGTCCAGTGCAGCTGATTATGAATGCAAACTATGAGTTGTTAGTTTGTGAATTAGTGTGATGAGAGCAGGATCGGAGCCAAGTGCACACATGCGGCTGTATTTCCCCCTCACTCTCCTCAGGCCTAATTTGTTTAATCTAATGAGCTGACAAGCAGGTTCAGATGTTTGACTAAGAATATTGAGCCATTTAAAAAAATGGGTTTGATATTTCACCTCTCAAGCTGAGTACTGCCTCCGGGCCCGACAAATTGCCCATGCCCGGGTCAATTGCACGCATTCAAAATGAGTTGAATATTATCAAGCCATTTATTTGTGGTGTGAATCCATATCCCCTGCAGCCGATTATGCAGCTTCCCGTTAAAAGTGCTCTTTAGCATTTCTGAGTGATTCATAGCAAACGTCTTCATTATTCTGCGTGGCTGGCGCTCTGTGGGCATGCTGAACAAGCAAATACACCTGAGGACTTTCCCACTATTTAATAAAACGTGAATTATTCATGTGTTTGGGGGCTGGAAATACACATTGTTTGTTAAATAAAAAGCCTTTCATTTGCTCTGTCTTTGAGGCTGTGTGTTTCTCATACGTGTGCGTTGACATGAGGACAGTGCTGATCAAACCTGGCAGAGAATAAAGTGGGAACCAGGCAAAATTTTTACACATAACGTAGAAAGCGTCTCATTTGCATACAGTTCTAGTCAGGAGGTCTACCTGACAGGGAACTGAAATTAATACGCGTGCAATTAAACAAGCTGCAATTGGTGCAGAAATGTATGTCAAACAAAGGCTGTCACACATTTACACCTAACGTTCAAAAATACAGGCTGTTAGCAGATAAACAGCCTCTCAAACACCACTGATTGAACTCTCAGGCTAAAAAACGTCATGACGTGATGAATGTGTGAGCTTTTTAATTTGTTTGAGAGTCTTTAAGATCTCTAAGATCTTAACAGGGTGAAACATAACTCGTAACTCGAAACATAAGCAAAAGCTCACCTGTAGCGTAGAGCGGGACTTCAGCAGGTCTGTCCAGCTCAAGACCCACAGCTGATCGTGAGATTTGTCGTAGAAGAGTTTGACGGGCATGGCGTCTGTTTCCACAGCCTGTCATTCCAACAGAGAGACAGGGAAATTCATTCACTTGCTTGTCAAGAGCAACTGCGATAAGTGAAGCACTCACTACAATTTATTTTGGCAAGTGACCTAATGAAGGACGTGGTTTCAGTACGAACACTTTCAGGATAAATGTAAGCTCCAAATGAAGCTGAAGCAGAACCGAATCTCTCCAATGCCCAGTTTACAGCTGGTATTGAGATGTGTTTTGGTGGATCGGATCACACGTAGACGAGGGAGACACATTCCCGTTTACACCTGGTGTTTTAATCCGTCCACTTTAACCACTTCTGTCCTGATTTCTTCAGAGGAGGGTCTATGGGCGGGTAAATGTGTGAGCTTTTTCAGATCTTTAGATCTAATGGACGAAATAAGCTCACGCAATTTACATGAGAACGCGAAAGAAGAACACACGGAGAACATCAGCTTTAGTTTCTACTCTTATAGTCACAAGACCAGCCGAACGCTGTGAGTGTGTGTTAGAAATCAGGAACGCTGAGAGAACATTACATTTTCTCTTCAAACCAAACTTGGGTCTCCAGCCGATAAAGTTTAAACCCGTCTGGCTAGAGCTCTTTCCATAATGTTTACGTTTTAGGTCAGAAGCATTTTAATACCAGATGTACAGAGGCTCTAAGCACACAGGAGTGATGTTCATTCCATCCATCCATCAATCAATCATTTAAACTTTATCGGCTGGAGACCCAAGTTTGGTTTGAAGATGAAAAACGTAAAGCACAATTTTCTCTCACCGTTCCTAATTTCTCACAGCGTTCGGCTGGTCTTGCGTCTGCCAGAGCAGAAACTAAAGCTGATGTTTATATGTAAATTGTATGAGCTTATTTTGTCCATTAGATCTAAAGATCTGAAAAGCTCACACATTTACCCGCCCATAGACCCTCCTCTGAAGAAATCAGGACAGAAGTGGTTGAAAGTGGACGAAAGAGACGGATTAAAACACCAGGTGTAAACGGGAATGTGGCCCCCGTCTACTTGTGATCCGATCCACCAAAACATCTTAATACCAGCTGTAAACCGGGCCTTAGAGAGGTTTAATGTGGTCTGGACTCAATTTTAAAGAACCCTATATGCCAAAAAAGTTCTATATAAGGATAAATGTCCTAAATGATTGCATAATCATTTTTGTTGTGCTTTAAAGACGTACACTTATTTGAACACTTTTACACTTTTTTTAAGTGATAATGCTGTTTAATTCATCAAATCGAACTAAAAATTAATTAAAACTACAATAATTCAAACTAAATCCCTAAAATGACCTCATGATGTGACCTTTTCCTTCAACCTTTTCCTCTAAAAGTGTTGTTATTGAACCAAGTGAAAACTGCACTCGCAATCTGAATAACACTCATGTGATTACCGTCATCACTGCTGAGAAACTTACAATAGTGTTTGATTCATGAAGAAAAAAGCTCTTGATTAAAATATTACTTAGGATTGTCTGTAATCAATACTTGAGAACTAGAAATATAAAGTTAAAAACAACCTTGTAATACTTTGTAGATGCTGAACATTTTATCACAACTTAATTTCATTGTTCTAAATTTTCCATGCACTTAAATATGTTAAACTGAAGTTCATTTATTTGTTTTGAGACTACATGAATCATCTAACTAACTGAAACTGCACATGTGGAAACTGAAATTAGGTGTCACTGCATCAGATTTGCATGTAAATACTGAGAGACTGTGTAAGCTGAAAGATTCAAAGTTAGATTTACTTGCAAAAGAAACAACCTCTCTTTAGATGCAACAGAGATCTCATTAGTAATTGCATTATCATGTAAAACAGAAGCATTCTCAGCACTGGATGTAAGCATGCACTTCCATCATTAGTTACAAATGCTGCCTGATTGTCGGGATCATATGGCGCTGTCGTAGTTTGTTCGTCGCTGAGTCCCTGTGATCATGTTAGAAGGATTTATTAGCCATGATCCAGTGACATCCACACGACCCTCGACACGCTCTGCTTTCTAAAAGCGCTTTCATCTTATGCTTTCCATTGTTCGCTGTTGCTATGTATTATTGATTCTTCACCCATATAAGAAAATCATTCATTTATTTTGCAGCATTGGATAAGAGAACAAGTAAAATATGAGGAGAAAACATGATGTGACGGAAAATCTAGTTAAAATTCTTAGTGGATTCACTTAAAATAGAGGAAAACACGACTTTTGCCGAAGTCTCCTGCTTATCAGATGTTTTTTCCTGTGGAAAAGACCCCAGAGATCTCACATGTGTCTCCTCTAAGAGACCCCAGAGATCTCACATGTGTCTCCTCTAAAGGACCCCAGAGATCTCACATGTGTCTCCTCTAAAGGACCCCAGAGATCTCACATGTGTCTCCTCTAAAGGACCCCAGAGATCTCACATGTGTCTCCTCTAAAGGACCCCAGAGATCTCACATGTGTCTCCTCTAAGAGACCCCAGAGATCTCACATGTGTCTCCTCTAAAGGACCCCAGAGATCTCACATGTGTCTCCTCTAAAGGACCCCAGAGATCTCACATGTGTCTCCTCTAAAGGACCCCAGAGATCTCACATGTGTCTGCTCTAAAGGACCCCAGAGATCTCACATGTGTCTCCTCTAAAGGACCCCAGAGATCTCACATGTGTCTCCTCTAAAGGACCCCAGAGATCTCACATGTGTCTCCTCTAAAGGACCCCAGAGATCTCACATGTGTCTCCTCTAAGAGACCCCAGAGATCTCACATGTGTCTCCTCTAAAGGACCCCAGAGATCTCACATGTGTCTCCTCTAAAGGACCCCAGAGATCTCACATGTGTCTCCTCTAAAGGACCCCAGAGATCTCACATGTGTCTCCTCTAAAGGACCCCAGAGATCTCACATGTGTCTCCTCTAAAGGACCCCAGAGATCTCACATGTGTCTCCTCTAAAGGACCCCAGAGATCTCACATGTGTCTCCTCTAAGAGACCCCAGAGATCTCACATGTGTCTCCTCTAAGAGACCCCAGAGATCTCACATGTGTCTCCTCTAAAGGACCCCAGAGATCTCACATGTGTCTCCTCTAAGAGACCCCAGAGATCTCACATGTGTCTCCTCTAAGAGACCCCAGAGATCTCACATGTGTCTCCTCTAAGAGACCCCAGAGATCTCACATGTGTCTCCTCTAAGAGACCCCAGAGATCTCACATGTGTCTCCTCTAAAGGACCCCAGAGATCTCACATGTGTCTCCTCTAAGAGACCCCAGAGATCTCACATGTGTCTCCTCTAAGAGACCCCAGAGATCTCACATGTGTCTCCTCTAAGAGACCCCAGAGATCTCACATGTGTCTCCTCTAAGAGACCCCAGAGATCTCACATGTGTCTCCTCGAAGAGACCCCAGATATCTCACATGTGTCTCCTCTAAAGGACCCCAGAGATCTCACATGTGTCTCCTCTAAGAGACCCCAGATATCTCACATGTGTCTCCTCTAAGAGACCCCAGAGATCTCACATGTGTCTCCTCTAAAGGACCCCAGAGATCTCACATGTGTCTCCTCTAAAGGACCCCAGAGATCTCACATGTGTCTCCTCTAAAGGACCCCAGAGATCTCACATGTGTCTCCTCTAAAGGACCCCAGAGATCTCACATGTGTCTCCTCTAAGAGACCCCAGAGATCTCACATGTGTCTCCTCTAAAGGACCCCAGAGATCTCACATGTGTCTCCTCTAAGAGACCCCAGAGATCTCACATGTGTCTCCTCTAAAGGACCCCAGAGATCTCACAAGTGTCTCCTCTAAGAGACCCCAGAGATCTCACATGTGTCTCCTCTAAGAGACCCCAGAGATCTCACATGTGTCTCCTCTAAAGGACCCCAGAGATCTCACATGTGTCTCCTCTAAGAGACCCCAGATATCTCACATGTGTCTCCTCTAAGAGACCCCAGAGATCTCACATGTGTCTCCTCTAAGAGACCCCAGAGATCTCACATGTGTCTCCTCTAAGAGACCCCAGAGATCTCACATGTGTCTCCTCTAAGAGACCCCAGAGATCTCACATGTGTCACATGTGTCTCCTCTAAAGGACCCCAGAGATCTCACATGTGTCTCCTCTAAGAGACCCCAGAGATCTCACATGTGTCTCCTCTAAAGGACCCCAGAGATCTCACATGTGTCTCCTCTAAGAGACCCCAGAGATCTCACATGTGTCTCCTCTAAGAGACCCCAGAGATCTCACATGTGTCTCCTCTAAAGGACCCCAGAGATCTCACATGTGTCTCCTCTAAAGGACCCCAGAGATCTCACATGTGTCTCCTCTAAAGGACCCCAGAGATCTCACATGTGTCTCCTCTAAAGGACCCCAGAGATCTCACATGTGTCTCCTCTAAAGGACCCCAGAGATCTCACAAGTGTCTCCTCTAAGAGACCCCAGAGATCTCACATGTGTCTCCTCTAAGAGACCCCAGAGATCTCACATGTGTCTCCTCTAAAGGACCCCAGAGATCTCACATGTGTCTCCTCTAAGAGACCCCAGAGATCTCACATGTGTCTCCTCTAAGAGACCCCAGAGATCTCACATGTGTCTCCTCTAAGAGACCCCAGAGATCTCACATGTGTCTCCTCTAAGAGACCCCAGAGATCTCACATGTGTCTCCTCTAAAGGACCCCAGAGATCTCACATGTGTCTCCTCTAAGAGACCCCAGAGATCTCACATGTGTCTCCTCTAAGAGACCCCAGAGATCTCACATGTGTCTCCTCTAAGAGACCCCAGAGATCTCACATGTGTATCCTCTAAGAGACCCCAGAGATCTCACATGTGTCTCCTCTAAGAGACCCCAGAGATCTCACATGTGTCTCCTCTAAAGGACCCCAGAGATCTCACATGTGTCTCCTCTAAAGGACCCCAGAGATCTCACATGTGTCTCCTCTAAAGGACCCCAGAGATCTCACATGTGTCTCCTCTAAAGGACCCCAGAGATCTCACATGTGTCTCCTCTAAGAGACCCCAGAGATCTCACATGTGTCTCC